AAGGGCACCCTTGCATCCTTGCCTCATCGGTCCATCCTTGGCCGCCTTCGTTGGCCAACCTCGGTTCGAAGAACGTCAACATGGCCCTCCAACGCCTTCCTTGCATCCTTGCATCCTTACCGCGCACCCTTATCGCGCACCCGCTTTGGTACCTTGGCATCCTTGCATCCTCACCGCGCATCCTTATCGCGCATCCTCTTTGGTACCTTGGCATCCTCACCGCGCATCCTCATGATACGAGCCGACTGTGCGGCGGAGCCGGAGTCGGGGCGGCGCTCGCCCCCTCTGCGCTCCCGCGAGCGGGGGTCCCCGGCGCCTCCAAGGAGAGGCCACGGCCTCGTCATCGGGGCCCCTGCCCCAGACGTGCGGTGGTTTGATTTTTGGACGAGGACGAGGGCGAGAACAAGGACGATAAGCATGATGATGATGCTGCTGCTGATGATAATGATGATGATGATGGTGGTGGTGGTGGTGATGATGATGGTGATGATGATGTTGATGATGATGATGTTGCTGCGGGTAATGACGAGGATGATGATGTTGTTGATGATGATGATGATGCTGATGCTGATGCTGATGCTGATGATGCTGATGATGCTGATGCTGCTGATGCTGACGATGCCGATGACGATGGTGATGACGCTGGCGATGACGATGATGATGACGATTACGATGACGCTGACGATGACGATGATGATCACGATGGTGATGCCGATGGTGATGATGATGCTGCTGCTACTGATGCTGATGATGATGCAGATGATGATAGTGGTGGTGATGATGACGAAGGTGGTCATGATGATGGTCTGATGATGATGCTGATGCTGCTGATGATGATGATAGTGGTGGTGGTGATGATGATGCTGATGCTGATGATCATGATGCTGCTGCTGCTGACGGTGATGTTGCTGCTGCTGCTGATCATGATGGTGATCATGATCGTGATCATGATGATGATGCTGTTGCAGCTGCTGATGCTGATGCTGATGATGCTGCAACTGATGATGATGCTGGTGGTGGTGCTGCTGCTGATGATCATGACCATGATCATTCTGATGATGGTGGTGCTGATGTCGATTACGATGATGATGACTATGATAATTACGATGATGAGGAGGTTGATGATGTTTATGATGCTGCTGATGCTGATGATGATGATTATGCTGATGCTGATACTGATGATGTTGATGCTGACGTTGATGCTGATGCTGCTGATGATGATAATGATGGAGATGATGATGATGATGATGATGATGATGATGATGATGATGATGATCATGAGCATGAGCATGAGGATGAGGAGGAGGAGGTTGAGGATGAGGATGAGGATATTGCTGCTGCTGCTCCTGCTGAGGAGGAGGAGGAGGAGGATGGGGTTCTTGGAGAGGGGAGTCATGATTGCGATGATGGCCATGATGGCAATGACGATAACGACGACTTCGAGCATGTTGTTGACGATGGTGGTGAGGCCGACGCCGAGGAGGGAGGAGCCAGACTCAGACATGCGACGTCCCGATGTTTTCCACGCGGAGTCCCCAGAAGTCTTGGCTCCTTCATCTGCCCCTGTTTTTTGTTGACCTCCTTTCCTCGCGACTTGTCTCTTTTTGAGGGCCCCGGGGGCGCGGCGAGGGCCCTTCGGAGGCCAGGCACGGCCAAAAGCGTCCCTTCGCGGCTCGTGCTGTTCACGACGCGAGCATGCCTGATCCGCCGAACTTTGGTACATGTTCTTGTCAACAATTTTTTGTCGGAAGCGCAGAAATTCCGCATCAAGAAAGGGGGGGGGATGTGTCAGCAAAGGTATCCAGTTGCCTGTGGCAAGTCCGGCCACAGGGCCAACCCAGTTTTCTGGGTGGCGGCTGTTCGAGGGTGCACGGGAGGCCGTCGCTTGTTACATTTGTTGTGCCTCCAAGCTTGGGAGAACAGTGGTGAGGATGGTGGGGGCGATGACGACGATGACGATGACGGCGACAATGAATATGATGATGGCAATGATAATGAATATGTTGTTGTTGATGGTGATGGTGATGGTGATGATGATGATGATGATGATGATCATGATCATGATCATGATCATGATCATGATCATGATCATGATCATGATGATTATGATGATGATGGTGTTGGTGATGGTTATGGCGATGGCGATGATGGTGATGATGATGACGACGTCGACGATTATGGTGACGATGACGTTGAGTATGACGTTGCTGATACTGATGCTGATCATGACCAGGATGAGGATGAGGATGATGATGAGGAGGATGATGAAGATGAGGATGAGGATGATGATAATGATGATGATATTGATGATGATGAGGATGAGGGTGAGGAAGAGGATGAGGATATTGATGATGATGATGACGATATCAATAACGATGATGATGCTGCTGCTGATGACGGTAAAGGTGATGGTGGTGATGATGACGACGACGGTGATGGTGATGGTGATGGTGATGGTGATGACGACGATGACGATGACGATGACGGCGACGATGACGAT